CACACCTGTAGTCCCAGCTACTCAGGAGACTGAGGGGAGAGGACTGCTGGAGCCCAGAAGGTCAAGGCTGCAGTGAGCGTGAGTACACCACTGCACTCCAGCCTGGGCGACAGAGCGAGACTCCGTCTCAATAAAAAAAAAAAAAAAAAAAAAAAGAGCTTGCTCGAGAGAAACACAGAAGTACCTCAGTCCCTTAAAATCATGAGACAAGGGTTAAGATGAGCAAGAGGTAGGAGGCAAATGTGCATAGGGACCTTGAAGAACTAATAACTACAGAATTTGTTTCATATAGTTTGTCTAAGAAAAATTCAGATATTCTCTTTTAAACAGATACCATGTAAACTCAAGCAACATGGTTCCAATAGGATTTGAACCACCACCCTGAACTGACTTGCCTATTTTAAAGTTATAGCTCATGGCACCACGGATAGAAAAATCCTGGGAAGCCTAGTGCAGGTTGACTCAAGACTAGCTGTCAGTTTCACCTCTGATGTCCATCTTCAATATGGGCAAACATTTCTAGGCATGACTTTAAATTTATAATCATAGGTCTTAATGTACTGTTACACGAACAACTTTAAATCTTCCAATAAAGTCAGAGATCCTGAACTAGAACAAAAATTATTCCATCTAATAACAAACAAGCATATTGATTAATATTTTGAAATGAAACTCATGTGTCTGCCTTAAATATATATAAAGCTAGATGCCTAGGCAGATTAAAAGCTTTTTTCAAAAATCAGAATTTTCAACAAATACATTTTTTATAAAGCCAATCCCAAAGATTATGGAACACTTTTATAACCCTTATTTGTGCTATATGTTAACACTAATAAAAATATCCCTGTGGAATCAGAATCACATTATACAACAATGATCCCTCAGCAGATCACATTTTCAATGGAATTAGGGTTATATACATAAAAGTTTGTTCCTTAGGATCCAACAAGAAAAATATATTAACCTAAATGAAAAGGGTGTAAATGAAAATGCAACTATATACTCAATTATAAAT